AGGAAGAAAATGTTTCCTCTGCCCGTGGATGGGGCAAGAATTGTGGTTGCGGGCAGCCATGCAAACGACATCGGGAGGCAATGTGGGGGTTGGACAATCTCCTGGCAAGGAGAAGCGGGGCCCATAACCAAAGGCACCACCATCTGGCAAGGAATTAAAGAGCTAATTTCTGGCCGGGCGGCTAGTCTCACGTACATTGGATACCCACCTGAAGACGACCGTTACGAAAACGGCACGAGGAAAAGGCCGATCGAAGCCACCCGGGAGGCCGCAGCAGCGTGGGTGAAGCGAGCGAGGAGCGTCGAAGCGGACCTTGGGATTGTTGTTGTAGGGGAGCCTCCTTATGCTGAGTACAAAGGGGATAATCAGCAGCTGGAGCTAAGTGGCCCTGCCCGGTCGACAATTTTTGGGATTTGCAACCAGATTCCTTGTGTCGTGGTGGTGGTTTCTGGGCGGCCACTAAATGTTACCGGGATGTTACCGCATCTCGATGCATTGATAGCTGCCTGGTTACCAGGGTCAGAAGGTAACGGGGTAGCCGACGTGCTATTTGACGAGACGGTGGATTTCAAGGGGAAGTTACCCTTGCCGTGGTTTCGCTCGGTCAGAGACCTGCAGCCGGACCATTCCCCTGGCCCCAACCCCCCACTCTTTCCAATGGGGTTCGGCTTGAATAAGGCTGGTAATCCAATGGGTACAGTGGATGGGGAGGGGGCACCCTAAGATAGCTGTGACCACTGTATAATGTAACCACTGTATGGTAACCATCATCGGATGTATGGACCACTGTAGCATGTGATTATGGTAGGTAGGTATGGTCAGTCAAGGCCACGAGGTGGCTAGTGTATATCTGCCCAAAACAGTTTGTAAGACTGTGTCACTCTTTTAAACCTCCATCCATGTCAAACGCTTTAACAACGTACTGGTAGATTGCGGATTTTGGCACTGGAAGGATAACTTGGTTAGATTAAAACAACTAATCGAGTTAAAAACGAGTCAGCACCATAGAAACATCCTGGACCATGTCATTATATACAGTGGCTCTGGGAGATGACGTCACTTGTGTTACACGCAGCATACTGTAGCATGTCATTATGAACCAGCTGTACTCTCATCCTTCTTGCACTCCAACATAGGAGGACGAAGGGGCCGAGGAGGAGCAGTTGAACAAGGGGGGGAGGCGGGGGTGAGGAGGGGGAGGGGGGGGGTACATTCCTTGTTACGGCACTGCTTTCAGAGGGGGCAGCGGTGTGCCAGGGTGCGTCCTCCTCATGTCCATATGTGCTCTCAGCGAGTCCCTGCTGAGTCCTGCTGCTTTCCGGCACATGGCACACACTTAGCACTACTTCCAAAGACAGCTCAGGGTGCTGCTTTCAGAGGGCGGGGCAGCGGGGTACCAGGGTGCATCCTCCTCATATGTGCTCTCAGCGAGTCGCTACTAAGCCCGGCTGCTTTCCCGCACACGGCACACACGCGCACCGTGGGCCGGCTCATTCGGCCCCGAGGGCACCAAGGGAGGGAGAAGGGCGAGGTGGGGAGGCGGAGTTGGAGGCGGAGTTGGAGGCGGAGGAGGGGGAAGGGGAGGAGATGCGTGGAAGGGCAGAGGATGCAACCACTGCAGGAGCAGAGGCAGGGCCAGAGGTGGGGAGGTGAGGAGATGGCAGAGTGGGAGGAGGAGTGGCAGCAGCAGTAGACAGGAGGGTGGGCGAGGAGTGCGGAAAGGACGTTTCAGCAGCAACACTGTGCGCTGCCGTGTCTGCTGCCCCAGCACCACCACTATTGCCAGGGGAAGCATCAAGGGAAGTGGGCGGAAAGGTGCAGGAGCAGTACGAGCAGCAGTGGCAGCGGGAGCAGTGGCAGCAGAGGGGTCAGTGGCAGCAGAGGGGTCAGTGGCAGCAGAGGGGTCAGTGGCAGCAGAGGGGTCAGTGGCAGCAGGAGGCGGAGGGCCGTGGGGGTGGAAGAGCCTTCGGTCGAGCGCCACTAGCTGGCGGAGGAAAGAGGTGTTGGGGGCAGCATGGGGGTGGGCGGAGTGCAGCAGCACCCATGCCTCTGCCAGGGGCATCAGCCTGGGGAGAAAGAGGGGGGGGGGGGAGTAAGGCGGAGAGGGGATGGCGAAAAGGGGAAAATAGTTCTTAAAAAGGTTTAGGTACGTACAGTACCGCTCAGCCTTAAAAGAAATCAGCAGGGTGGAGTCATTTTTTATCATTCTAACAAAACAAATTCCAGTCTGGCCATAAAGAAAACAGCAGGGTGGAGTGATGGGCGACGGAGCATCATGACGGACAATCCACATCGTCAGACCCTCAACCTCTTGTGAAACCTATTTTCGAGGAACCTCAACCTCAACCTCAACCTCAACCTCAACCTCAACCTCAACCTCAAAAATACAATCCACATCGTCAGACCCTCAACCTCATGCGAAACCTTCCGGGTGACTTTTGGGTCGACTCGAAAGTCACCTCGTTAGAGTGTCACAAGGAGAGCAGCATGAGGGACAGCTCGCATCACTTTTTTTAGAATCCTCAAAAACCGCATCCTCAACTTCATGTGAAACCTACAAAGGGTGGCCATTGATTAGCACTACCTCTTGGTCATGAGGTAGGCCAGCACGATGGACACCGATCGGCTGCGGCCCTCATAGCAGTGCACCAGCACGCCCTCTCCCTTGCTGATGGCAGCTTCCAGGAAGCTGCTGGTCGCTTCCATGTACTTTCCCAGATCCTCCCGGTCTGAGTCGCGCATCTGGCGGCGAAATGGGGGAGAGAGAGGAAGAATGAGAGAGAAAAAGAAGGGGAGAGAGAGGAAAAAGGGGAGAGAGAGGAATAAGGGGAGAGAGAGGAATAAGGGGAGAGAAAGGAAGAAGAAGGGGAGAGAGAGGAAGAAGGGGAGAGAGAGGCGAGTGGGATGTGGGGAGAGAGCGAGAGAGAGGGGTTGGGGATATGCACTTGCTGAGGCCTCCCTGTCTGAGTCGCGCATCTGGTGGAGAAAGGTGGGGAGAGAGAGGCAAGTGGGATACGGGGAGAGAGGGAGAGTGAGGGGTTGGGGATACGCTCTTGCACCAGACGCTGGTCGCTTCCATGTACTTGCGCAGATCCGCTTTTGAGTCGACTCAAAAGCTTCCATGTACTTGCGCAGATCCGCTTTTGAGTCGACTCAAAAGCTTCCATGTACTTGCGCAGATCCGCTTTTGATTCGACTCAAAAGCTTCCATGTACTTGCGCAGATCCGCTTTTGAGTCGACTCAAAAGCTTCCATGTACTTGCGAAAATCCGCTTTTGAGTTGACTCAAAAGCTTCCATGTACTTGCGCAGATCCGCTTTTGAGTCGACTCAAAAGCTTCCATGTACTTGCGCAGATCCGCTTTTGAGTCGACTCAAAAGCTTCCATGTACTTGCGCAGATCCGCTTTTGAGTCGACTCAAAAGCTTCCATGTACTAGTGCAGATCCGCTTTTGAGTCGACTCAAAAGCTTCCATGTACTTGTGCAGATCCGCTTTCGAGTCGACTCAAAAGCTTCCATGTACTTGTGCAGATCCGCTTTTGAGTCGACTCAAAAGCAGCTGCTGGTCGCCTCCATGTACTTGCCCAGATCCTCCCGGTCTGAGTCGCTCATCCGGTGGAGAAAGTCGGGCAAATAGATGCGGGTGGGATATGGGGAGCGGGGGAAAGTGAGGGGTTGGGGACAAGCACATGCTTCACGCCCAAGTGGTGCCAGAGGGCAAAGGAGCCCTCCACCCAGCCCTATCACCCCTCTCCCTGTATTTTCCTCCCACACACTCACCCAACTCACCGGCAGAACGAGGTAGTTGAAAAGAGGTGATTGCTCCGCGTCAGAATCAAGCAGGTCAGTGCGGCACTGCGTCATCACATGGCGAATACCCAAGTGGTGCAGGAGGGCGAAGGAGCGTCAAGACATGTCTACCCGGCCCAAGCTCTTAAACTTACCAGCAGAACGAGGTAGTTGACGAGCAGTGACAGCTCCGCATCAGGATCAAGAAGGTCGGCGGTGGGGCAGAGAATCGCACACTCAGGTAGTGCAGGAGAGCGACCACATGGCGTACAGCCACCACATGGCGTACAGCCACCACATGGCGTACAGCCACCACATGGCGTACAGCCACCACATGGCGTACAGCCACCACATGGCGTACAGCCACCACATGGCGTACAGCCACCACATGGCGTACAGCCACCACATGGCGTACAGCCACCACATGGCGTACAGCCACCACATGGCGTACAGCCACCACATGGCGTACGGACCACATGGCGTACAGCCACCACATGGCGTACAGCCACCACATGGCGTACAGCCACCACATGGCGTACAGCCACCACATGGCGTACGGACCACATGGCGTACAGCCACCACATGGCGTACAGCCACCACATGGCGAACAGCCACCACATGGCGTACAGCCAGGTGGTGCAGGAGAGCGAAAGAACATCAAGGCAGGTCTACCCGCCCTGAGTGCTCTCAACTCCGGCAGAACGAGGTAGTTGAAGAGCGGTGACTGCTCCGCATCAGAATCAAGAAGGTCAGTGGGGCACAGTGTCACCACGTGCTTCACGCCCAGGTGGTGCACGAAGGCGAAAGAGCATCAAGGAGTGACTGCCCCCCCCAAGCGCTCTCAACTCACCGGCAGAACGAGGTAGGTGAAGAGGGGGGATTGCTCCGCATCAGGGTCCAGCAGGTCAGTGGGGCAGAGCGTCACCACGTGCTTCACACCCAGATGGTGCAGGAGGGCGAAGGAGCGGGCGGCGATGGCGGACCCCAGGTACAGGTGCGGGAGGATCAACGAGGGGCGCTCAGACGCCATGGAGTCTTGCACCAGCGCCCAGCGCTCCAAGAGATGGTGCAGGCGAACCTGGGGTCCACGCGAGTAGTGTGGGGGGGGGGGGATGAGGGAGAGGCGCTCAGACGCAATGGAGTTTTTGCACCAGCGCCCAGCGCCCCAAGAGATGGTGCAGACGAGCCTCCTGGGGGCAGGGAAGTAGAGAGGGCGCGGGGGGGAAGGATGGGCGCACTGATGGTAGAGGCGTGGGAGGATGAGGGAGGGGCGCTCCGACGCCATGGAGTCTTGCACCAGCGCCCAGCAATCCAAGAGATGGTGCAGGCGATTTTGGGGGCCGGCAATGGGGAGAAGAGAGGAGGGTAAAAGAAGGACGGATGAGCCCAGGTGGTGCAGGAGGGCCAAGGAGTGGGCAGCGATGGCACAGCTCCGGTGGAAATGGGGGAGGTTGAGGGAGGGGCGCTCCGACGCCATGGAGTCTTGCACCAGCGCCCAGCAATCCAAGAGATGGTGCAGGCGATTTTGGGGGCCGGCAATGGGGAGAAGAGAGGAGGGTAAAAGAAGGACGGATGAGCCCAGGTGGTGCAGGAGGGCCAAGGAGTGGGCAGCGATGGCACAGCTCCGGTGGAAATGGGGGAGGTTGAGGGAGGGGCGCTCCGACGCCATGGAGTCTTGCACCAGCGCCCAGCAATCCAAGGGATGGTGCAGGCGATTTTGGGGGCCGGCAATGGGGAGAAGAGAGGAGGGTAAAAGAAGGACGGATGAGCCCAGGTGGTGCAGGCGGGCCAAGGAGCGGGCAGCGATGGCACAGCTCCGGTGGAAATGGGGGAGGTTGAGGGAGGGGCGCTCGGACGCCATGGAGTCTTGCACCAGCACCAGCGCTCCAAGAGACAGCAGGTCACAAGCCGCAGCATCTTGCTCTGCCCTTACCCTCTATAGAGAACCACTCTCACCTTTGAGTTGACTCAAAATGACTTTTTAGTTTTGAGTCGACTCAAAAAGCATCTTGCTCTGCCCTTACCCTCTATAAAGAACCACTCTCACCTTCAACTCATACTCGTCCACCAGGCTGTGCGCCCCTCCCCCGACACTCGCCCCCATGAACCCATCACCAACGCAGTGCAACAGGCGACCTGGTATTGTACGGGCTTGCATTCTGGCTCCCCGTTACGAAATCGATCTCACCTTGAGTTCGTAGGCGTCCACCAGGCTGTGCGCCCCTCCCCCGCCACTCGCCTCCATAAACCCTGTCAAAAACGGCAGCGCAGCCGCCCCGCAGATCCTCCCAGCCTCCTCCCTCATGCGCCCGTCCCACCGCTGCACCTGCTCCCTCAACTCCTCGTCCCCCTGAGCGGATTTCCTCACTCCGCGTATCTTCATGCTTAATCGCGAGGGTAAACCACCCAGAGACGCCCTCCAGGCAGCTGCTTTTGCTGCTGATTTGCTAATAGAGGCGGGCGCGTGGCGGGGGTTGGCGGGGGTTTTGTGAGACGAGGGGGTTTTGTGGGAGGAGCGAGGGGTGGGGCTACGGTAGGGGAGACGGGAGTGGGCCGCAGTGGGAGTGCTTATGCTGCTGGTGCTGGTATGAGCAGTATCAGTGGCAGCATTAGAAAAAGCGGCAGCATCGAGCGACGGGGCAGTATGAGCGGCAGAGGGGGCAGTGTCAGTGGCAGGGGTGGTGGGAAGAGATGGGTGGGTGTGCTTCTGCCGGTGGTTGGCAGGGCGGATTATGGGTGAAGGGCGGGTGGAGGGAGGGGAGGAGAAGGCGGAGGAGAGAGACATAGGGGAGGTTGCACGGGTGGGAGGCGAGCTGGCAGTGCTAGCAGCGGCGCTAACAGCACCAGTACCGCCAGTACCGGCGGCAGCAGCAGCAGCAGCGGTAGCAGAATCTGCTTCTGGGGAATCACTCCCTCTGCTACCTCTGCTCCCTCTGTTCCCTCTGCTCGTTCTACGCGCCGCTGACACTTCCCCTTCTACTTCTTCCTCCCCTGCCGCTGTGGCTTCTCCTTCTCCTTCTCCTTCTCCTGCTCCTGCTGCGGCTGCTGATGCTCTCCTCGCCACCTCTTCCGTTGCTGCTGTCTTCTCACAGATGCTTCCTAGGAAGGGGGAGCGGGCACTAGTGAGAGAAGGAGAGCGCGGATTGAAGCGAGCAGGGGAGCGCAGGAGGCGGGGCGAGTGGGCGGCACCAGCAGTGGCACGACGGTAAGGCACAGGGGAGCGCGGGGGGCCAGGGGAGCGGGGAGGGATTGGGGAGCGAGGGGGTGCAGGGGAACGAGGGGGAGCAGGGGAGCGAGGGGGAATGGGGGAACGAGGCCAGTCGGAGGAAAGAGGGGGTGCGGGGAGCGGGGGGGAGCGGGAGAGCAGGGAGGGGCGGGAGAGGCGGGAGCAGAGAGAGCAGGGGAGGGAGGGGGGGCACGGGGCCGCTGGGAGAGAGCAGTACGGGACACGGGGTCTGCTGAAGCAGAATCAGCACGGGAATCCGAGCGTGAGTAGCCGTAAGCAGGCCCAGCAGCAGAGGGAGGCATGATTGGGGGAGGTGATATCCGCCTCATAACGTGCTGAGAGTAGGAGTCTTCACTAGGAGACGGGGGAATGGAGGAAGGGGGGGATTTGTTAGAGGGAGAAGCTTCGGGGGAGAGAGGTGCGTGAGGGGAGAGGGGAGCGCGGGGCGAGAGGGGGACCTGAGGGGAGGAGTTTAGAGAGGATTCGAACTCCCTGGGAGTGTGAGGGGACCACAGATCGTTACTGTGATTGTTGGCAGTGCGAGGGGAAGGTGTTACTGGGGAGGGTAGATCATGGGGCGGTTCTTTGGAAGAACTTTCTAGTGGTTCCTCTGCCGACGTGGAAGAAGGGTGGGTAAAGGACAGCCGTAGGGACCTGCTGGCCTTGGCAGATGCAACGGACGAGTCGCGAGACAATGATGACGTGGTATGGGCTGCTGATGACGTGGAAGGAGATGCTGTTGCTGTGGTTCTGGCTACTGCAGCAGTGGCTGAGGGAGGCGCGGAATCAGGGGAGACCGGGTCGGCCTCAGGAACAGGTGAAAGGGAGGGAGGAGGTGGAGGAGACGACTTTTGAGTCGACTCAAAAGGAGGGGCGGAGTCTGGGGAGATCGGGTCGGCTTCGGGAACAGGTGAGAGAAAGGGAGGAGGTGGAGGGAGAAGTTCGGAGCAGCGGACACCTCCATCCATGACAGGTGTCTTCTCAGCATTGTCGGTAGCCCTCTGTGCTGCAGTTGGGGCATTTAGCTCTCTAGCAGTAGCACCCTCCATGCTGTCCTTAGGGTCGCCATTACAATTCCCGCTGCTGCCAAAATCGACTCGACTACCACCACCACCACAATCGCCATTGCTACTACTACCACCACCACCGTTTTCTCGGCTGTCGCGCGTCCCCCCCACACCGGCATTCCCAAAGTCCAGTCTACTCGCAGAGATGTGCGCAGTGCGGCATGAGATGGACGGCGAGGATCGTCTTGCAGCGGGTCCTACCCACCCGGCACAGCCAGCGCCACTGTTATGGCCAAAGCCACCACCGTTACCACTGCTGCTGGCATCATTGCCCTCACATCCGCTGCTGCTGCTGCAGGCTCTACTGCTGCCATCACAGCCTCTGCTGCTGCTGCTGTCGAGCCGTGGCCTGTGGACGGAGGATGGGGAGAGAATGCGAGACCCCTTGCGGAAAGGAAACGGGGTTGTTGTGTTTATATCTACCAGCTCCCCCCTTCCGCCTACGCCCTCTCCTTCTCTCCTGCTGCCTCCTCCTCCTCCTGCCTTCTCCCCATCTCCTCCCTCGCCTCCAGCCCTCTCCTCCTTGGCGGCACTGCCCCTTCTACCACCATACCCAATTCTACCCCCACTGCTCCCATTCTCCCCTCCGCTCCCATTCTCCCCTCCGCTCCCATTCTCCCCTCCGCTCCCATTCTCCCCTCCGCTCCCATTCTCCCCTCCGCTCCCATTCTCCCCTCCTCTCCCGCACTCCCCGCCTCGCCCACCCTCCCCTCCCCCGTCCAGCTCAGGCACCGAAGTCACAAACGCCAGGAACGCTCTCAGCATGTCGTCCAGCCGCGAGTGCAGGGCAGATAGCGTGCGCTGCACGCGGCGCATCTCCTCCACTGCTTCCCTAAACCCCTGCTGGAACGCACGGGTTTCTGGGGACACAGGGGGGTGCGCAGCTGCTGCTAACTGAGCAATGGTAGACCTTTGACTGGATAAGCTGCTGCTGGTGCTGCTGCTGGTACTGCTGGTGGTGCTGCTGGTGGTACTGCTGGTGGTGGTGCTGCTGGTACTGCTGGTGGTGGTGCTGCTGGTGGTGGTGGTGCCGCTGGTACTGCTGATTGTGGCGATACTTGTGGCGCCGGACTCAGTGGTTGTGATAGTGGTGGTGGTGATGCTGGTGGTGGTGGTAGTTACGGCGATGGTTGCGGGAATGGTGCTGGTCGGAGCGGAGGGGGCGGTTACACATTCTGTAGCATAAGCAGACCTCTCTAGAGCCATTCCAGCTTCAATAACAGCTGGGAAGGATCCTGTAGCACCAGCAGCAGCAGCAGCAGCAGCACCACCACCTGTAGAAGCTGCTGTAGCAGCAGCAGCCAGACCTGTCCCAGAAGCACTGGGAGGCAATGAGTCAGACGAGCCAAACGAGGATGATTCTAGCGAGGATGAAAACGACAACGACGATGAGAAAGAGGCGGAAGGAAAACCATCCTCGGCAGCACACATCGGGCCGGGAGCCACGACCCCATGGGTGGGAGTTGATTGCACATGGCCTGGAGTGGGCTCGCCCAACTGGCCCAGTGCCCCGAAGGAGGCGTGGAAGAGCGTGTGGGCGGCGAAGCAGGGGTCATGCAGCAGCAGCTGCACGAGGCGGGGGATGGCGTCCCGGTCGTGCTCCGCCAGGCTGGGTGGCACGCGGCGGCAGATGGACGAATCTATCACCACCACCTCCTGCCCCACCAGAAGCTGATGTGCCTCCTGACCCACTACCTGCTGCGGCGTCTGTGGTGCCTCTTGCCCCACTGGCTGCTGCTTTAACCCCTGACTTGCAGGCTGCTTCAGCTGCTGCTGCTGCTGCTGCTGCGGCTGCTGCTGCTGTGAAAGTGGTAGGATATTCCCCACAATGGAGTGCTTTGATATGGCACTTGGAAAGCCGGAAGCCTCTTTCGTTTCACTATGAGATCGACCTCTACCTCTGCCTCGCCCCCTTCCCCTTCCCCTCCCCCTCCCCCTCTCTCCGCTTCCTCGTCCTCGACCCTCCCTCCTTAATTCCCCTTGCCTCCTAGATTCTAATTCAGCACCCATTCCCTTTCCCCCCTCCCCCTCCTTCAACTTCTCTTCTCTCTCCCACGCCTTCAGTAACGGCCGGTCGGAGCATAGAATGTTGCCGCGGTTACCCCTCCAGCCCAGTTCCGGGCAGGGTAACCGGTCATCGTTCCTCAACATAATATCTAGCAGAAGCACGCGGCCCAATGAGTGCGCTGTTTTTTCCCGGGCAGATTGATCAGGGAAAAGCTCGTCTCGTGGGCAGGAGACAAAAGATTGCCCCTTCACATGCCTGCATGCCAGGGGCACAGGATAGGGGCATGAGCAGAGGGTTGAAAAGATGGGAGGATATAGGGGAGGGGGGGAGGATTTGGAGGGAAAGCGGGAAGCAGGAAAGAGTGGAACAGGATAGATGGAAAGGAAGAGAGAGAAAGAAAACACTCCTGTTGGTAGAAATGATTTGCCTGTCAGGACTTACTCACCCCATGAGCAGGAAGCATCGGCTCAGCTGCAGGGCCTCTAGAAATTCCTCCACCACACTCCCCTCCTCCTTCCCTCCACTCTCCCTCCTCTCCACCACATTCCCCTCCTCCTTGCACCCACTCTCCCTCCGCTCAACCTCCTGCCCTCTCGCCCCCATCTCTCTCCCCCTCAGCCTCTCTGCTGCTCTCACCACCTCCTCCCACTCCCTGGTCTGCTGCACTGCAAGCTCATGGGCAGACCAGGATGGGTCATTGGCCAAAACGGACCGCTCCATTCGGCCTGAAAAGCCCTGCTGCAGATTTTCCTTATCCAGCGTGAAAGGGTCGGCGCTGCGGTCAGCACTACAGGTGGGGAGAGGCGAATTCCACGCAGCAGAAGCAGCCAGAGAAGCTGGGCTGCCGGTCGCTACTGTCGCCCTCCTTCTTCCAGTGATGGTGGTGCTACTGCTGTCGGTGTTGGTGTTGGTGTTGCTGTTGCTACAGAGGATTGGGCTGCTGTGCGTGCTGCTCCTGCCGTGATTTCCTCTGTGCACCACTCGCACCTGAGGGAAAGGGCGAGCAGGGAGGGGGAAGCGACAAGGGCAGGTGCTAACATCAGAAGCGTTCCAAAAGAACTGGAAGGAATTACAGGACGATGGCGCAAGTCGTTCTATTCTTTGCAAGACATAAAGGACCGCTCCCTCTATCCTTATGAGGGTAACGGCCTTGTACCTGGGGCGTGGCGATCCCAAGGTGCATGGCCAGCTCAGCTCCAAATCGCTCCGACTGCGTGACGATGCGCGATCCAGCAAACTTGATGCACGCTGCGGCTAGTTGAGGTTGGGGGTCCATCCACTCTCGTCTAGCTCCTACCCCTCTGTTGTCTCGGATCTGAGACGCATTTTGGGGTGCCCCAATGGCCCTTGTCTCAGCTTCAGCTGCTTCGCCGTCCGCTCTTCTGTGGCCGGATTCGTCCCCTTTTGGGCCTGGCTCGGGCCGCTGGCGGAACAGTGCGAAATACACGATTCCACCAGAGTTGACGGTCACCTGAGGCAAAAGATGGAGAAATCGAACGGAAGGAAAGAGAGTCCATGTCGTTCGAAGGAAGGAAAGGCAATGCGCGTCCACACACCACCACAGGCGCGTTCAGATGGCTTACCTCCACACTACCGCTCTTCTCAATCACAGGTGCGTCAGGCAATCCCTCTCCCCCTCCTCCCCCACCTCCTCCTCCTCCTACTCCTCCTGCTACAGCCGAGCTACCCTCTCCTCCCACCTCAGTGCGGTACAGTGCTACGAGGTCCGACCAATCAAATCCGCCCACGCGGACGTCCAGCTCAGCAGCCCTCCCCAGCTGCTGCTTCCAATCCAAGCATCTGTACTCGTGCATCCGAGCCTCCATCTTGCCAGCCTCGGCGAGCCGAGCCTCGTCGAGCCCCTTACAGACGTCATCAACACCATCACCACCAACGGCAGCCATAGCTGTGGCGGCAGCACCAACGCTATGACCAAGATCAAGGCCAACACCAGCACTGGCACCAGCACCAGCACCGGCACGAACACCAGCACCGGCACGAACACCAGCAGCAGCAGCAGCAGCAGCAGCAGCTCCAGTCCCAACACCAGCAGCAGCAGCACCATCAAAAGCACCATCAAACTGCCGTTCGCGTGACTCAAGGTTTTCGTCTGCCGTTCCTACTGGGGGCTCGGACAGCGTCTCACCCTGTTTCACCTCCCCATTCCCTCTGCAGGTTTCCCCTTTCGCCTCCGCTTCTTCACCCTGCCCCTCAACTCTCCCTGGCCCCACTACAACAGCAGCTACAGGCGGCGAAACAGCGACGCTGGATGAATCAGGAGCAGGAACAGGAGGAAGGGGAGTAGGATCAGCAGCATCAGCAGCAGCAGCGGCGGCGGCGGCGGCGGCGGCGGGCACGTTAGCAGCAGCCGCACGCATGGGAGCACTATCTACCTCCACTCCCTTCCCACATGGTGGACGCACGAGCACCCCCTCATGGTTATTGGGCTGCTCCTCTAAACTGCTACTGCCATCTGCGCCTAACTTGGAAGGATCATGCCTTACGTCTTGCACCTGATCCTCTCCAATCACACATGCTCTCGCATCCCCTCTCTCCGTCACTCCACTCCCTCCGCCCGTTCCACCTGGGCCACCTGGCACGACCCTACTGGCTAGCCCTGGCTCCTTACTCCATCCTCCAGCAGTCCCCTGACTGTAACAATCCCACATAGTCACACCATCAGCCATAGGCCAGGAGGCCCTCATTAGAACGTCATCCTCTGCTACCATTCCCCCCATAGACGGTCTGGAGATAGAGCTGATGCCAATGGGGGAGGCTCCACCTGGGGGCGGTAGCATCTCACCACCACTCGTCTCGTCACCAGCATTCTCATTACCACCCGTTTCACTTCCTCCAATCTCGTCCCTGCTGCTGCCCATTTTGTCGCCTTCCTCACTCCGCCCAACACATGCACTTCCCTCCTCTCTCTCACACACACTCTCCCCCTCCTCTCCTTCCTCCTTCAAGACGCCCTCCAGCCTCCCCGGACGCTGGAATTCCGGGAGCCTGATTGCCAAGGCACCGTTACAAGAACAACCGGAACCAGAGCCATGAGACTGTGGGCAGGGGAAGGGATGCAGTCCCGGCTTGCTCGTCTCACTGATGCTGTGACTTCGGCGAATGCCAGGAGGCGGAGGAGAGAGCGAGTCGCTCTCAGCGCCCTTCGTTATAAGGTCGAGTTGAGAGGCAGAGGAGGTCGTTGGGGAGAGAGATGACACCACGTAGCCGAGGCGATAGGCTGAATGGGACGCAGTAAGAAAGGCGCCAATAACGCATGGGATAGGTATCGTAAGTTATGAAATGACATATGGTCTAGACATGGCGAATTATGGGAGACATGGGGAACGTGCTTCGATAACAGACCATTGCGAACAACGTCAACCTTGGGTTAAAACTAGCTATCTTTAGTAAAATCCGAGAGTTTTTCTTATAAAGAGTGATAGGACGTTGTGGAAAATATCAAATCTCACCTCGTTGCCTCGCACGCCAAGCGGCTCGCTTGCTCAGAAGCCACGGCTGAATGTCCTCCACCAGTGGCCGCCTGCCACGTGTCCGCGACAAAAACGCGAATGACTGCAAGACAAGGGCATGATCCATGCAACACAACCACAGCAGATTTGGAAATCGCTGAGCTGGGCTGGCGTAACCGAGTTTAAGACCCCTAGAAATGGCAAGGACTCAGCAATTTGGACATGGATGCTGAGGGATTCGGCCTGATGAGAATAAAGCGGGACATGTGAGTTTCAGCCGTCTCAAATCTCGCTTGGATTCAAGAGCCTGATGAGATGGAGCTGGTGCGGCTTACGGACCCTGTGCGAAAGAAGCATGGTCGATGACACGTCCTCATGCTGGAGCGCGTCTTCTAACGCGGACGAAAACTCGGGATCTGTCTCGTTGCCTTGCTCTGGATCTTGCTCTAGATCTTGATCAGTATCGGTTTCCGGCTCGTGACCCTCGTCCGGCTCTTGATCATCCTGGTTCGCTTCTGGTTCATTATCACCATTCACGTCCTCATTTTCTTCGTCTCTCTGCTCGGGATGATTGTTGTTTTTCCCGTGCTTCTCAGCTGATGGAGATCGATTGACAGAAGAACTATTGCTTGGAAACAGGCCGTCTTCACCTGTCATACCCTGGCTCGGACCGACGATGTTATGACAGAAGGCTAAGCGTCTTTCCACATGATCGGTCTCATCGAAATCGATCCCTTTGTTTTTATCCATTCTATGACAACCTCAAGGGACTCCGTTTCCCGTTCGGGACTGTACGACGATAGCGCTAGCGGAACCTAACAAAGAAATGCGAGTTGCAACCTACTCAGAAATTCGTCAGGGAGGTTCGGAGGCGAAGAAAATGCTTGCTAGGTTCTTGCAACCTCGTCAGCACGAGCTCATAATCTTGCAACGGGCACTACGTCGACTTGATCGGCAGTAATTTCGAAGGGACACTATACTACTACGTGTGGTAACGTAAACACGTGAACTGTTTATGGTACGAGACTTCTGTGACGTGTGCTTATGTCCGGCACCCCTAAGATCTGTGAATAAACTGTCACAGGACAAGGGCAGCAGGTCGGGGAGAAGTGGGAGAAGCGGGAGAAGCGGGAGAAGCGGGAGAAGGTGGGGTGGCGGGGGAATGGGAGGTGGGAAAACAGCGAGCGCAGGGTGGGTGGGATGGCAGGATCCATCCACATGCAGCAGCCTCTGGGGGAAGGTGAAGAGGGGGATGGGAGAGAACCACCACCCTGGCTTTGCGGGGCAGACAGGAAATCACGCCAGCTTGTGCGGAGTTCCCAAGGCGATATTTGTCAGCAAACTTTTTTCGGACGTGGTTGGATGGGATAAAAATGTTTTTGAATGGGATGGAAAGGGTTTTAGAAGTTTACATGTGCCGTTTCGAAAACATCATGGCTCGCACCGCCACTCCCAATCCACCCAGTCAGTGAACTGGCGGGAAAAAGAGCCGTGAGATGACGCGCCTCAATTCTGTCAGAAGTTCAACACAGATTCTTGTCTACACTGAACTTCGTTCAGAGTGTTATTAAAACACGCAAATGTGAAAATGCGGACTAGCAGTACACCGGGCTGCTCCATGATGAGTTTCCCATGCCGCTAAACTGACCTGCTCCTGGAACAGGACCAACTTGGGTAGTTTCTCCAAAGTTAGTGCTCTTTCGCGTTTCGTCATGGCTAGCAGTTGCGCGACATCGTTATTCAGCCAGCTCAAACTGCGCGGGTCTGTAGCTCTCCCAATTTCGATAAATCGTGCCAAGTCTGTATACTGTCCTACCTCCACCAGAACGTTCAAGCACATTTCCACTACCAGACGTTCCCCGTGTCCGTCCAATTTCCGCACTAGAGCGAGTACCAGGGATGGCCAACCGGACGCCTTAGTAAACTCCGACTTGGCGTTCGCGCGATCGAGGAGATTCGCGCCGTGTTTGACAAAGTTGCTGCCGCAGCAACGCCTCCGTGGGTGAAGCTGCCAGCGTGACACCTGACGATACCGGACTAAGAAGTGACCCGTTTCAGACACTAGTGGAGGAAATATGTTCCGCCAAGATGGAAGGATTCTTTATGGAGTTGGACGGTAAGCCATCTCCCTTCTCTGCGAAATCTGCCCAAATCCGTGAAGCTCAGTCATAATTTCGACCAGAGATTATCTCAACTCTACACTCGTTCAACCCTGTATCAAGGCCCCTGAATCTCCGCGCAATTGTCCTTCTACAACTCCTCCTCGTTTCATTCTCTCTACTTTTCTCTGCTGCTTTTGCCTCCATGCAGAGAGAGTCTCATGATGCGAGCCCTGGCCATGCACCAGTATCACCTAGGCTTGCACGCATCGTTGTGGGTGACATGACATGTCCTGCCCTCCCATACCTTCCTGCTGTTATTTCCCCCTCCCCCCCCCCCCCCCCCAGCAGGAGGGTCTCATGATGCGAGCCCTAGCCATGCGCCTGTATCACTAGGCTTACACGCCTCGGTCGTAGGTGACATGTCCTCCCTCCATTGGACGAGGACCTCCTTATTGTCAGTGCAGGCCCTGCCGCTTTCCACAGTGGATGCTCTTATGGGGGAGCCAGATCTGCAGGGCCAGACTGCCGTCATCACAGCACAGCCGTCAGGGATTGTGCCAGGCTGGCAGATCGTGTGTGTACATTCCTGCACAGACAATGGCAGATACTGAATCTGGAGGGGGCGAGGGATGAGCAAGGAATGTGCTTCCTATGGGAGTATTTATGAGGAGCACTGTTTTTTCTAGGAGAAGTGGTGGTGCGTTTGTGCGGAGGAATTGGCGAAACCAGAGATACCATGCGCGCTCGGCACACCAATTTGGAATGAGCATTTCTCGTGTATCATCTGTTCATGTAATTTTTCATCACGTACGCCTTCCAGCTCTACAGTCGAGAAGTCCAATAACGCGGTATTTTACATTGCAGGTTGTGGGGCCATATGTTCGCTTGATCACAGATTCCCAAGGCTGGCGTCTTGCATGGAGGCATTTCTCCTCACACAATCAGGATTCTAGTCTGCACCTCCTCCGATCCCTCCGCGCTTAGCTCCCTCGCTCCTTGCTGTAACCCGCCTACTTCCTCGCCGTTCTTTCGCGCCCTTGCGCCTTCCCCCCCTTCTCCCAGTTCCCCCATGCCACTACTAAAAGTGCTACTAGGGGCTACTGGCCCTTCGGCCTGCGTGTTTCATGAAGCCAACTTGTAGCGTTATCTGGTGCTGTCGCAGGGAGTCTATCTTTGAGGCGCCTAAAAAATGAGGTCCTGCGTGTTTCGTCAAGCTAACTTCAACCGTTATCTAGTGCTGTCGCAAACCAAGCGACATCTTCTAGTAGCGAATGGTTCAGCGGCTGTTTCACCCGCGACCCAGTCAGCCTCGCTTTCGGCCATCCGTTCGCTTCTCGCCCTTATCTCACTTTTACGCATTACGTCGCTTTTAGTTAGTCATACCTTATATTCCACGTAATGAGGGGAAGGCTGATGGGCACAGCAGCAGCCAGATCGCGATCCGGTGATCTGACTCCTCGTTGAGTATCTTTTAGCTGAACCGCCTTATGCGCGAAACCAATCCTGCCATTTTCGAAACAATTGCTCTCGATATGGCGGACCTTGCAACACCGCCTCTGGTGTCAACGCCAGTACTACCCATTCCACCACCACCACCACCTTCAGCAGAACCTCCAACGGCAGCAATTTCATCAGAAGCAGCAACACCACCAGCAGCACCAGCAGCAGATGCGTCAGCAGCAGCAGCACCATCAGCAGCAGCTGAACCTAGCACCCCAGTCTGTCCCCATATAGGTCCCTTCCATGCCTACTCTCTCCGTTCTCTCTCCTCCACCTCAAGCTCCAGTACCAGGGATGCTAATAACGGGGCAGACAGCACTGAGTGCTTCTCCGGTTCATGCTGCTGACCTCGCCCGCCATTGGCCCGCTGGATGCTGACGTGGCACGCATGGAGGTCCCGCTTTGCTCCAAGTATTTCGGAGCTCCTGCTGCTACAGATGTGGATTCTGCCGCTAAAGTGTGGGATGGGCTCAGCTGCTACAGATGTAAATTCCACTGCTAGGGAACTGGAGCATGCTGCTTCTACCGTCTACCTTTGCTGCCTGCTGCGTGCACATCTGCTACTGCTTTCCTGTGCTTATGCTGGTGTTGCCGCTTCACCTGTTCCCCCCATTCTCCCACGCCAGGCCCGTCTGTTGCTTCTGGTCGGTCCGTCTCGCCCCTCTCGGCGCCTTCAGCCTCTCGCCTCAGCAGGTCAGTCGCGTTCATGCCATAATGTGCTGGAGGTGCCTCGGATGGGTCAGCTGGTTCCAGGTAATCTGGTTGTGGCGATCAGCTGGGTTTAGATGGTTTAGTTTCGACTGTTGATCTGTGTCAGTTATTGGTTGTTCATGTGGCTCTGCTGGTTCTGGTACCAATTCTAGAGCTGGCTTTTTAGAATTCTTCCCCCCATTCCCTCCCCCTCCTCTCCCAACCCCCCTCCTCTCAGCTTGCCAGTGCCATGTGCCCACATGCGTCTGTTGGCATGTACTCAATAGATGGATCTCATGCACCATGCACCCATCCTCGCTAAAGGCGCGCCGTTGCTGCTGCGAATCTGCTGCTGCTGAATCTGTGCTGCTGCTGCTGCTGCTGCGCGGGCTGAATGTGCTGACGTTGATTCTTCTGTGGGTGCAAGACGTGTTGCTATGGCTGGTGCTGCTGATGCTGATGCTGCAGCCTCCGCCACTGTGGATCCCCCTGACCCTGTGCGCCATGCGCCCATCACTGAGGCCGTGCGCCCCTTTGGTGCGTTTTGGACCACTTCCCACTACTGCTTCGTGCTGCCCAGCTTGGAGGGGGAGGAGGAGAATCAGGTGTGCTTCCCATTTTGGAGGGGAGGAGGAGAAAGAGGGCCAAAGGGACTGGGGCGTGCAGGAGAGAAACAGATGGGGAGGTAAAGGCGAGAGAGGGCAGAAGGAAGGGGGAGATGTAGCAAGGAAGGGAGGCGAGGGATGGAGAGGAGCAAGGGAGGGGCGACGACATGAGCATGGGTGAACCAGCTGGTGATGCGTCCGCACATGTGAATCATAACGTCAGCATGCGAGGCCACGGTAACGTCAGCACGGAGGCCATGGTGACGTCAGCATGGGAGGCCATGGTGGCATGAGCATGTTGATGCGGGGGATTGACTGGGAGACGGTGGAGAGGGTGGCGTCCCTTGGAGACGGTAGAGTGGCTTCCGCTGGTCGTGACGTTGCAGCCGCGGTTGTTGACGCCGATTCTGCTGGTGCTGCTGCTGCTGGTGCTGCTGGTGCTGCTGGTGCTGCTGGTGCTGCTGGCTGGTGCTGCTGGTGCTGGTGGTGCTGGTGCTGGTGCTGGTGCTGCTGGTGCTGGTGATGCTGGTGCTGGTGCTGTGCTGCTGCTGGTGGTGGTGCTGCTGCTGCTGCTGCCGATGCTGCCGATGCTGCCGATGCTGCCGATGCTGGCTGGTGGTGCTGATGCTTATGCTGTTGACGCCAATTCTGCTGCTGCTGATGCTGGTGCTGGTGCTGGTGTTGATGCTGCTGTCGGTGCTGCTGCTGCTGCTGCGGTGCCGTCTGATCGTTCTGGTGACGCTGTTGTTTGTGCTTCTGCTTCCACTGCTTCTCCTAACGCCAGTCTCAATGCCTCTGCTACCGTGCTGACGGCTGCTCGTTGCCCCACAAGCGAGCAAGAGCTCCATGGCATGCCGCTGGCGGGCGCTGGTGGCCCACAGCCACACGTTGCTTCTCACCTGCGATTTCCAGTGGATGAGAACGTTGACGGCAGACGGTTTCCAGAGGATGAGCACGCTGGCATGTTCATGAGTGCTCGTGGCCCTGTGAACGAGCACGCACTGCATGGCACGGTGGCTTATGCAGTGCAACCTTCTGAGGCTCCCCACGATGCTTCTGCTGGCATGTTCATGAGTGCTCGTGGCCCTGTGAAGGAGCAAGAATTGCATGGCATGGTGCGGTGCATTCCAGACTCATGTACCAGCTGGTAGGAAGGGACGTGGAAGGGAGGACAGCACACGGAGTGAGTGAGGGCCGCATGAGCACATTTCAAGACTACTTCCAGAACCAGTGAGTTCGTGCGTGTCCCTCTTGTTGCAACATGCACTGCGCGCACGCACGGTGGCATATGCGGTGCATTCTCGGCGAGTGTACCAGCAGCTAGGAAGAGTCTCGGAGGGGAGAGCAGCAAGAAGTGAGTTCATGGGGCGCTTCTGAATAGCATATAGCAGTAGGGAATAAGGTGCGTTCTCGTTTTGAGGCGCCACAAAAATAGCAGTGGGGAATAAGGTGCGTTCTCTGCTGGTGTGCCAGCGGCTGGTGAGTCGACTCAAAAGTCACTTTGGCAGGGCATGGTGGCGCACAGCAGGGAATGAATTTGTGGGGACGCATGGAGGCCCTTTGGGATTCCTTTAAAACCAGTGTGAGTGCTGCTGGTCGGGAGGGCGACAGAGGGATGTAGGAATAAGTTAGTTTGTGGGCCGCATGGATGGAGCACATTCAAGATTACTTCCGAAATGGTGAGTGCTGGTTGTGGGAAGGATTCAGAGCAATGGATAGGGCCAAGTTAGTACGTCGAGGCTTGGAGGTGCATTGTAAGACTACTGCCTTAAACCCAGTTGATTCCAGTTACATGTTTGATCATTTCTACCCACCGCATGTCTCGTTTTTAGAATCCTAAAAAGCCAAGGCAGCCCCATTTCGGACCAGGAGAGAGTGCCTCAAAAGTAGCCCTTGGCAGTGGCCCGGAGAGAGGGGACCTGATGAGCTGGAAACTCAAGAGGTGCAGCTGGATAATGAGGGTGCACTGGCTGGCCGGCCCAGCGTGGATGAGGGTGCACTGGCCGGGCCAGTGAGACCTCTTAGCAGATGCTTCATCCACCCTGGGCCAGGCCAGTGCACCCTCATTATCCAGCTGCACCGCTTGAGTTTCCAGCTCATCAAGTCCCCTCTCTCCTGACTTTTGAGGCGCCTCAAAAGTAGCCCCTTGGCAGGCATGGCACGACATATCCGTGCCTGTACTACCCCGACCAGCCCCTGTTCGATCGATGCGTGCCAGCTGAAGCCAGACATGCGGAATGCCTTCTGCTGGTGCTACTGCTGCTGCTGCCGCTGCTCTAGCTGCTGCTGCTACTGCTCCTGCTGCTGCTGCTGCTGCTGCTGCTGCTGCTGCTGCTGCTGCTGCTGCTGCTGCTGCTGCTGCTGCCTGCTGCAGCCTACTGAACCTTTATCCTCAAATCCTGAAGCCTTACACCCCAAACCCCCCTGGCAGCATGGCATGTCCCTGCCCTACCTGGACCAGCCCCTGTTGGCCAGACAAGGCCAACATGCGAAATTCCCAGCTGCTGCAGACACTGCCAACCTTAAACCCTTCAACCCCGAACCCCCTTTGCAGGCACGCATATCCCTGCGCTACCCCGACCAGCCCCTGTTTGCCGCGTGCCAGCTGAAGCCAGACGTGCGGAATTCTCTGCTGCTGCCAGGCGCTGCCAGAATGTAAGGGCCATGGGGGTGGATACAAAGCAAACAGCAACCTGAGTGTCTGTGGCCTGCAGTTTGGAGGCAATCGGTTGGTTCTGATGCGAAGTGATTGCAAAAATCACCTCCGTCAGCGTACCGAGTTTTTGTTATCGTTGGTGTGTGTGTGTGTGTGTGCGCGCGCGCGCACGCGTGCATGTGCGTGGTGTGTGAGCTTGTTCTGTGAGTTTGTGTGTGCGTGCCTGTTTGTGTGTGTGTGTGTGTGCGCGTCGTGCGTGTGTGTGTGTCAGCCTGTTCTGTGTGTGCGTGTGCTGTGCATGCGTTGTGTGTGTGCGTGCCTGTTTCTGTGTGAGTGTGTGTGTGCGTGCTGTTTGTGTGTGTGTGTGTGCGCACGCGCGCGCGTGTGTGTGGTGTGTGTGCGGTGGTCTGTGGCGTGTGCGTGTGCGCGGTGCGTGGCACGTGCGCGTGTGCAGTGTGCGTATGTGCGTGTTTGTGTGTGTGTTGTGTGTATGTGCGTGCGTGTTGTGTGTGCATGCTGTTGTGTGCGCGTGTGCGTGTGCGTGCGCGTGTCGTGTGCGTGTGTGTGTGTATGTGTGTTGTGTGCGGCGTGTTGTGTTGGTGTGCGTGCCTGTCAGACTTCTTCCGTCCCATCCTACAAAAGGCCCCCACTGGAGTATTTCCTGTCCTCTCGAATCCCCACAAGTGAACAGCTTGAGGCGCCTTTTGAGGAGCCTCCAAATCTTGAGGTGATTCAAAGCCAAAAAGTCCCCACGAATGTGCTTCCTGCCGGATCAAGGCACGTCCCGCTCATCGCCCCCTCCACCCCTCCCTCAGTGAACACTTTCGACTTTGTCCGACAGTGCTGCAATCAGGGCGGCTGGTCCCAATACCTTCAGCTGCAATGCTACAGCAGGCGTGGCTGTATTAAAGAGGATGTAGCAGGTTTGTTTGCTCATCTGCCCCCCCACCCCCCTCAGTGGACACCTTCGATCTGTCCACAGTGCAGCAATCAGGGCAGATAGCCCAGACAGCTGTAGCGCAGCAATGCTACAGTGGACATTCTTGTATCACAAAATGCTGTAGCAAAATCCCCCTCATCTGTTCTCCTCCACCCCTCCCTCATGGACACCTTCGATCTTGTCAACAGCGGTGCTGTCAGGGAGGTGGAGCCAACAGCTTCAGCTGCCCAACGCCACAGTGGAAAAGGATAGCAGAGAAGGTGTAGCAGAGACAGTGCAGCAGCCGAGGAGAGACAGCAGGAGGGGAGCAGGAGATGCAGCAGGAGCATCAGCAGGAGCAGCAGCAGAAGGAGCAGGCGAAGGAAGAAAACGGCAGGTCAGACGAGAAGGCAAAGGGGCGGCAGACACTCATCTGGCTGGAGCAGGCAGAGCAGCAGGCAGGGCAGGACAAGAGCAGCAGCTGACGAAGCAGGAGCCAGTCAAGGGCCAAAGGAGAGGAGGAGAACAAGGGGAAGGCAAAGGGGCGGCAGACCTGTCATCTGCCGCTGGAGCTCCTGTGCCCGTCTGCCGCTGCAGCACGAGGAAGGCAAGCAGCAGCAGCAGCAGCAGGCAGAGCAGGCAGGGCAGGAGCAAGAGCGGCAGCAGGCAGAGCAGCAGGCTGGACAGGAGCAAGAGCGGCAGCAGGCAGAGCAGCAGTCGTGTCAGGAGGAAGACAAGGGGCCAAAGGAGAAGGAGGAGAAGAAGGAGAAGGCCAAGGGGCGGCAGACCTCATCTGCCTCTGGAGCTGCTGGTGCCCGTGCCCCTGCAGCAAGTGCTGTTCGCCTCGCTGCTGCCCCCTGCTGTCCCGCCTCGACTCCCTCCTCACTGCCCGGGATATCAGGCGGTTTCTGGTGAGGGAATATGGTGGCAGGAGAGGAGGGATGGCAGCAACAGCAGCAATGGCAGCAGCAGCAACAAGAGGAGGGGGAGGAAGGGCACAAGGGAAGCAGCATCAGCACCACCGCGGCAGCAGCCCCACACTGGCCTTCTGTTGATGTGAGTATAATCTATACACTGCATGTGTTATTGGTTTAGAACACACGTGGCATCTCACTCTCCCTCCCCCACACTCCCTCAAACCCTCTCTTCAGCTCCTACGAGCGCTCCTCCCCCGGAACAAGGAGAGCGGTGTGGACATACGAAAGGGATGAAAGCGTGCTCAGAGACAGCTGCCTGCAGCTTACCCTCACACTGCTACCTCCCCTCTCCTCCCCCCACCCCGACTCACATCTCCAGCTGCTGTGGTGCTGGCCCTCACCTGCCCTGGAACAACGGAGTCAGCTGCCCTCACCTCACCTGCAGCTTTCCTCACCTCGCTGATATCTCCCTCACACACAATCCTCCCTGTTCTCTTCCATCCACGCTGTCCCCCTCCTTCCTGCAGCTCCTGCGAGCGCTCACCTGAACCACAGAGCGCGGCGTTGAGAGACGTACGAGAGGGACACGGTGCTGGGAGACAGCTGCCTGCAGCTTTCCCTCACCTCCCTCACAAACAATCCTCCCTGTTCTCTTCCATCCAAACTGTCCCCCACTCCCTCCCTGCAGCGTACCCCTCAGCTTGCTTATCCCCATGCACTCCCCCTCACGCACTCCCTACCTCACGACTGTAAGCTCCTACAGGAACTTACCTGTCGCAAAACCACTATGATCGGCATGGGTTCGCACGAGAGGGGTGATGTGATGTTCTTTTGTTGGTGGCCCACACACAATCCTCCCTGTCGCCTTCCATCCACACTGTCCCCCACTCCCTCCCTGCAGCTCCTGCGAGCACTCACCTGAACAACAGAGAGCGGCGTTGAGAGGCCTACGAGAGGGACGCGGTGCTGGGACGAGGCCTGCCAGAATTGCTTTTGAGGCGCCTCAAAATCCGTGTGAACTGAGACTGCTTTGAGGCGCCTCAAAAGCGGACGTGGTGCTGGGACGAGGCTGCCAGCAGTTACTGCTCATATCACCCTGTCCACCTCCACCCCCCTTTCCTCCCCCCCCCCCACTGTCCCCGCTCTCCAGATCCTACGAGCCCTCACCTGCCCGGGAACCATGGAGATGACTTTTGAGTCGACTCAAAAGTCACCTCTCCAGCTCCTACGAGCCCTCACTGCCCGGGAACCATGGAGATGACTTTTGAGTCGACTCAAAATCACCTCTCCAGCTCCTACGAGCCCTCACCTGCCCCCCGGAACCATGGAGAGCGCATTGGAACGTACTAGAGGGACGAGGTGCTTGGTGACTGCTGCCTGCAGCTCTTGCTCATACCACCTCCTTTCTATCTTCTCCTTCCCCCCACCCCCCCTTTCCAGCTGCTACAGGCTCTCACCTGCCCTGGAACAACAGAAAGCGGCGTTGGAACGTACGAGAGGGACGAGGTGCTCGGAGACAGCTGCCTGCAGCTCGCCGTCTCGTGCCACCTGTTTGCCCACATCCATGCCACGTCAGCAGCACAGCCATAACCATGGGGATGGGCATGGGCATGGGCATGGGCATGGGCATGGGCATGGGCATGGTACACAAAACTACGTGCCATCATTCAGTGAGAGCGATGTCTACCTGCCAACATACGATGACATGAAGGGGCGGTGTGTGAAGCTGGTGTCCAACAAGCACCTTGCCTCGCTGGCTACCAAAGCCTGTGTGCCTGCCTTTGTTCGGTGAAGCCATTTAGGCCCTCTGACTGGGTGGGCCCTCTCCTTCCTCCCTCCCATGCTGTGCTGCTGCTGGCTGACTCCCTCTCTCTCTCCCTCTCCCAACCACACTCACACTCACTCTCACTTGCCCAACCACACCCCTTCTCAAACACACAATCACGAACGGCTGTACCTCCTGCCTCTCACGCTCAAACGGCTGGACAACATCACAAACGGCTGCAAGTCCTCACGCCCATCCTAGCCCCAAAGCCTCCTTGACTCTGCGTTCGCCTCACTCGCAGCAGCGCAGGCAGCAGCAGCCGCCAAGTCAGCACGCCAGCTGGGGAAGAAGACCCTCGCTGACGTGGCAGAGGCCCTCGTGGGCGCCAGCTGGCGCTGCGGCGGCGCTGACATGGCGCTGCCTGTGCTGAGGTGGCTGGGCCTGCCGACAGATGGCGTGGGGCAGCTTCTGAGGGGCGAGATAAGATCGGGGGGAGAGGCAGAGCGGGCGAAAGGAGGGGTGGAGGGGCGGTGAACGGAGGGGCAGAGGGCGTGTGGCAGCTTCTGAGGGGCGAGACGGGGAGGGGGAGCGGCACAGAGGGAGTGGTGAAGAAAGGCGCAGAGGCGTTGGGGGAGCTTGTGAGGGGTGAGATGGGATGGGGATGTGGGGAAGAGGGGGTGGTGAAGGAAAGGGTAGAGGGGTTGGCCCATGGAGGGTTACAGGGGTCTGCAGAAAAGCCAGATACGGTTGAAGGAAAGGCAGCAGCAGCGGGAGAAGCAGCAGCAGGAGAAGAAACAGCAGCAGCAGCAGCAGCAGCAGCAGCAGGGGGAGATGCAGCAGGACCAGCAGCAGGCGAGCAAAGCTTGTGTGGTAGCAAGCACGCACGGGAGTTAACCAAAGAGCAACCCCCACTGCCGCTTGATCCGCCAAACAAGCGCCCTCGGATGTATGAAGGGGAGTGCGCGCAGCAGCAGGGGCAGCAGCAGATTCCAGGTTTTTCGTCTCAGCAGCCAGTACGCACATCACCACCCGACCAGGTGCCGCCAGGTCAGCAGATCCGGCAGCCCAGCTTCTTAAAAAAATCCGTTGCTGCAATGAACCACAGGTGCCACGTGGCAGCAGCTGGTTGGCTGTCGAGGCTGCAGGGTGCAATGGGGTATCGGTTCACAGACGAGGCTGTTCTGATGGCCGCTGTGAGCGAACGGGAGCTCAAGGGAGGGGAGCGACGGTTTGTGTTCCTGGGAGAAGCCCTTTTAGACTTCCTGGTCATGCGGCACTTGGTGCATGCAACCTCTCCTGCCGCGTCATCGTTGCATGCCGTGTCATCATTGCACACTGCGTCAGCACTCGCCATGTCATCGCTTGCCGCGTCATCGCTCGCCATGTCATTGATTACCACGTCATCGCTCGCCACGTCATTACTTGCCACGTCATCGCCGCATCAGCTGACACTGCTGCGCAAGCCCGTGGTGCACGCGGAGCGGTCTGGCCAGCTGACGGCGTGCCGCGGGCTGCTGCGATTGGTGCGCAAGGTACAGCGGGCGGCGCAGGTTGCTGCAGACGCTTTTGAGGCTGCTGAGGACGTTGATGCTGCTGCTGCTGCTGCTGCTGCTGGAGCTGCTGGTGCTGCTGGTGCTGATGAGATTGATGGTGATGGCGAGCAGAAGCCATTCCCCAAGGTAGTCTCTCTAATCATGTAACCATGAGACCCTGTAACCCTGTAACCCTGTAACCCTGTAACCCTGTAGCCATGTGATGCTTCGTGCTCAGGTGGTGTCACCATGCTATGATCTCCCCCCTCCACACATCAGGACGTCTCTGATCTCATTAAAGCCCTCACTGCTGCTGTCTTCCTCGACTCCATGCCTCCAACACGACCTCCCACCGCTCTCAACCCCCCACATGAGCCAGACTGCACCTATTCCCCTGAGCCCCCATCTCCTTTCGTCTGCCCCCCATCTCCCCCTAACAACTCATCTGCACTCGATTCCCCCTGTCCTTCCAACCTCGCACCTCCCCTCGACCGCACATCTCCCCTCGACCGCACGTGGCGTGTGGTGTCCAACTGGCTCCGCCCCATCCCGCTCCTGCACCCGCTCTCCCTTCACCCCCCCTCCGCCCTCCTCCTCTTCTGCTGCGCGCTCGCCCTCCCCTCCCCCCTCTACCTCCCCAAGGCGCAGGGGCACGGGGGAGGGGGGGAGGCGTGGGGGGAAGGGGAGGAAGCGGAGATGGAGGGGGGAGAGGCAGGGGAGGAGGAGGGTGGGGGGGGGAGGGAGGGGGGGATGGTGTGTGGAAGGGAAGGGGATGTAAGAGGAGGGGAGGGGGAGGAGGGGGTGGTGATGGAGGTTGAAGTGAGGGAGGTGGTACTTGGGGAGGGATGGGGGGTGGATGATGTGGCAGCAACGGTGGAGGCAGCTGCTGGGGTGCTGAGAAGAGCACAGGTGAATAATGAGTGGGTGAAAGGGTGGTAGTGAGGAGGTGAGGCAGGTGCTGGGGGAGGGGTGGGGCGTGGATGATGCAGCACCAATGGTGGAGGTAGCTGCTGGGGTGCTGAGGAGAGCAACGGTCAGTCGAATGAGGTCCATGACGTGAATACAAAGATGTGATTGTGCTTGAAACGAGGGGTGGCAGGGGAGGGGTGGGGAGTGGATGGCATAGCAGCAACTGCTGAAGCAGCAGCAGCGGCTGGGGTGTTGAGGCGAACACAGGTGATTAATAAGGGCGACTGTCAAGTGGTTAGGTTGGTGAAGAGTGTATTTTTTAGGCGCCTCAAAAAAAGACTCCTCTCAGCTGGGGTGTTGAGGCGAGCACAGGTGATCAATAAGGGCGACAGTCAAGTGGTTATGTTGGTGAATTGGACAATGTTGGGGCGCATTATTTTTGAGGCGCCTCAAAACTAGACTCCTATCACGCGGATTTTGAGGCGCCTCAAAATTAGGTTGGTGAATTGGACAATGTTGTGGTGAGGCGCATTATCCGTCACTTCCTGATGATGTGGTGATTGGGGGACAGGTGGTGGGTGGATGGTGTAGCAGCTTCTGTTGAAGCAGCTGCTGGCTGGGGTACTGACGAGAGCACAGGTGATGTAAGGCTTTTTGAGACGTCTCAAAACATACCTTATATCGGTTGGGGGGAGGACGATGTAGCAGCTACTGTGAAAGGGGTGAGAGGGGTACTGCTGTTGGCTGGGGTACTGAGGAGAGCACAGGTGCGTGTGCAAGAGCAATGAGTGGTGCTGGGGGGCGGGTGTGGTGCTGCATTTGATGATGTTGATATGAAGTGGTGCTGGGGGGAGGGTGGGGGGTGGATGATATGGCATCTACCGTTGAAGAGGTGAGCGGGGTACTGCTGCTGGCTGGGGTACTTAGAGTGGTGAGGTGAGTTTAAAGGGGGGAGTGTGAAGATGTGAGTGAATGAGAGTTGCAGTGAGTTCAGCGTAAAGGGGTGATACTCGCGGAGTGAGTGTTACAACAAGGTGAGTCTGCTAAGGTGGTGCCATGCACCATGCACCATGCACCATGCACCATGCACCATGCACCATGCACCATGCACCATGCACCATGCATCATGCACCATGCACCATGCATCATGCACCATGCACCATGCACCATGCATCATGCACCATGCACCATGCACCATGCATCATGCATCATGCATCATGCACCATGCCCCCCATGTGTGCTATTCACCCATGTCTCACTCTCCCATTAACCCCGCTCTCTTCTTTCATGGCCATGTACATGCACATGCCCCTTGTGTTTTCGGGACTCCTCCCCCTCTCCACCATCCCCATCAGACGGTGCAGGCCTTTCTGCAGCTGTACCAGGAGGCACAAGGCGCACATGCATTGGGGGCTATCCGAGCCATGTGGGAGAGAGAGGAGGGCGAAGTTGAGGAGAGGAGAGAGGAGAGAGGAGGGGAGAGAAGGGAGGAGGAAGGAGGAAAAGGGAGTGCACGATTGGAGGGAGAGGAAGCAGCAGAGGCGGCTGGGGAAGCAGGCTTGCTGGAAACGGGTTTACCTGGCGATGTTAAACCATGCAGAAATGCCAGTGGTGCTGCTGATACTGCTGCTACTGCTGGTGAAGTTGGGGGTGAGAATGAGACCATTGATGGGCAAAGGCAGGCAGGTGGGAAGAAGCGAAAGCGAGGGAAGTCAGGCAAAGCGGGGGCGGCAGCAGCTGGATTTGCAGGATGGGGGGGATGGGGGGGAGCAACACCCATGGAAGGGGAGAGTGATTCGGGTGCTGGTGCTCCTAGTGCTTCGGCTGGCTTCCGAGCCTGTGAGCCAGGTCCGGCTGCCATATCGGCTCTGAATCACAAGTGCATGGTGCAGCGGTGGACGGCAGTGTACAGCGATCGCAGTATCCCCATGTGGGGTGACAGAACAGAGGTGGCTTTTGAGTCGACTCAAGAGTCACCCATGGTGCAGCGGTGGACCGCTGTGTGCAGTGGCAGAGCAGAGGTTCAACTTGGCACAGTGGAGCAAGACACCGCGGCTTTGTCTGATTGCAACGGATCCAAGGCATTGGAGAATGAAGGAACGGATGCGGTAACAGATGTGGTAGCAGATGCCGTAACAGATGGTGACAACAGTTGTTTAGCAAGTGATGTTTTGAGCAACGGTGCCACTGGTGGGGATGCTTCTGGCGCTCTTGCACCTGACTCGAGTAACACTGGCATCAATGCTGGCATCAATGCTGGCATCAACTCTGGCATCAAGGACTACGGCTTTTCCACGTAAGATCAACAACCCAACAAGCATGCCACGGCTCTGTGTTTGATGTTTTCTAAAACTATGAAAGCGCAAAGAGTTTGTCTGTCCTAAACGCGCCGAGCAAGAGAAAAAAAGGAGGGAAACATACAAACTTTGACGACTAGCCAGGCGAAAACATTTGGGCGCTTCGAACACCCGACGAAATTCAGAGGCGACGAACGAAACAGATACCAGGGATGCAAGAATTGAGCGAGACCAGACCTTTGTTATGCGTGCCAGAAAAAAAGAAATAACAGGGAGTTGGAGAAACATGAGCACTAAGATCACTAAACAAAACACAAACTCCATAGAAGTGGAACGAAATGACGTGATACTCAACAGAAATGGAATGGATTTTTTTATGGGCATGCGGGTACCGCATGTGAAGCAGCGCTAGTTACTATGAAGGTAGGAGTTCAATTCGTCCCATCAACATGGTTTGAGCTTTCGTTTATGTGTGTTGAAACATCCAGCTTTCGTTTATGTGCGTTGAAACATCCAGCTTTCGTTTATGTGCGTTGAAACATCCAGCTTTCGTTTATGTGCGTTGAAACATCCAGCTTTCGTTTATGTGCGTTGAAACATCCAGCTTTCGTTTATGTGCGTTGAAACATCCAGCTTTCGTTTATGTGCGTTGAAACATCCAGCTTTCGTTTATGTGCGTTGAAACATCCAGCTTTCGTTTATGTGCGTTGAAACATCCAGCTTTCGTTTATGTGCGTTGAAACATCCAGCTTTCGTTTATGTGCGTTGAAACATCCAGCTTTCGTTGATGTGCGTTGAAACATCCAGCTTTCGTTGATGTGCGTTGAAACATCCAGCTTTCGTTTATGTGCGTTGAAACATCCAGCTTTCGTTTATGTGCGTTGAAACATCCAGCTTTCGTTTATGTGCGTTGAAACATCCAGCTTTCGTTTATGTGCGTTGAAACATCCAGCTTTCGTTTAGGTGCGTTGAAACATCCAGCTTTCATTTATGTGCGTTGAAACATCCAGCTTTTGTTTATGTGCGTTGAACATTGTGTTGTTCCTCGGTCTGTCAGCAGCTGGCTTCCTCATTCTCGTTCTGACTTGTCTCGTTCCGACTTGTCTCGTTCCGACTTGTCTCGTTCCGACTTGTCTCGTTCCGACTTGTCCGTCGTGTTGTTTTGCAGCTTTCTCATAGATCATGTGATTCACGCCTGTGGCTTCGAGCCATGTCCTTGTACATATTCTAAATAATTTTGTGCACCTACTGTAGGGATTGTTTGGTGGTTCGAGTAACTTTGGGCCTACTCGAACTGAACATTCCTTCTTTCTATTGGTTCCTCCTTCAATCTTCTGCAGCTTCTGCATGGATTGTGTGGTCCAAGCGAGTGACGGGTCAACGGTGGTCAAGGTGGCGGGCCAATCAATGCCCTCCAAAAGGGCGGCAAAGCAATGGACGGCAGCAGCTGTATTGCGAGCACTAGCTTCCAAAGAATGGGCATTGCCTCTCATGGGTACTCGATGATACAAGGCACCCGCCTAAGAGAGCCACCCCCCTAGGCAATGTTACTGCTATAGGCACGAGATAGGAGAATGGGACTGGACTCAGGTATGAGAGCACTTGGTCGTTACATATATGTCACTATTTTCAGCGGTTATGATTTTTCCAGTAAGCCTGGTTCCTTCTCACTTAGGGCGGATTCCTGCAAAGCTGGATACAGCGAAGTTGGATCCAACGCGTGCGGTACAGTACCCTTCAATTGTCGCAAATGCACAATCAGTGCGGTTCAGCTGGGTAGTGCGTGAAACTAGATCCAACTTCGTTGGATTCCACTTCGTAGGAATCCGCCCTTATTTCGGGGTCGAGACGAAGGTATGAAAGAAGTCAACACCCTCGCGCTGACTGAAGCCTCTAGCTACGTAGCGCGCCTTGAACATCGGCGGCTCTCCGGGAGGGCGCTTCACCTTAAAGAGCAATCGGCCATCGACCACGTTCACCCCACGTGGGGGAACTGCGACGACGTAGGTGCCGGTGGATCTCCAAGATGCCATCTTCGCGTCCATGGCAGCTATCCACTGAGAGGCCCAGGGTCCTGAGGTCGCCTCAGCGTAAGTGCGAGGGGTCGGGATGTCAAGGGCGTCTGGGTCACCCTCAAGGACTAGCAGCATGGAGCAGAGATGAGGAGGAGCCTCGGACAGGAAAGCGAGCTCGTACTGCCGGTCCTCCAGAACGTCACTGCCGAGGGTAGGAGCACCCCCGATGGACGGAGGATGGGCAGGGTCAGAGACCAGAGCGGTGGCGTAGTCAAGGCGGCGGGTAGCGATGGCATCGACAAGAGCGTCAAGACTCGAGACAGGAACAGACGGGTCGCTAACGAGGGGGGCAAGGACCCGAGGAACAAGATGACTAGCAGCATGAAGGTAGTCAGACAGGAGAGGCGGAGCGACAACAGGCGACGACGGAAAGCGACGACGGAGGAGGCGACGGGAGGAGGGGAGGACGAGACACGTGGGAACGAAGCAACACAGGGTGAGAGGGCTGGACAGGAGAGACAGGGCGAGCACGAGGGGGATGGCGAGACCAGAAGTGGGACGGAGGCGTGGGGTCATGAGACACAGGAGGAGAACGAGGGGGGAAACGAGCCGGAGACGAGTCCGGCGGAGGAAACACAGTGTCGTAGGCAGGTAGGGGAGGCGGCAACAGGGGAGGTACAAGTGGGTGGTCAGGGGAGGGAAGACCGAGGAGGCGAAGGGCGGAAACCGGTGGCGACTGCTGCTGCTGCTCCACGCCGACACCAGAACCTCCAGCTGCACCATGGCCATCTCTGGGACACTCCACACCAAAACCCCCAGGGCAAGAACCCTCTCCAACACCGGTGCCACCCCCAAGACCGCCGGGATGAGCCACGACAGTAACCCCAGGGCGAGCACCCCCAGAGGTCACGGACCCCTGCGGCGGCGACTGCGGCTGCTGCTGCGGCGGCGACGGCGGAGGAGGAGACACCGGGGCTAAGACAAGTGGCGAGAACGGTGCCACAGGGCCACCAGAGTCAGCCGACTCCTCGAACGGGACAACCGACGGGAGGGGAGTGACGTGAGACACCCCAGACGGGGCAGGACGGGGAGGGAGAGGAGCAAGGGCTACCGGGGGAGTGGGAACCAGAAATAGGGGTGGGCAAACCCGGAGACCTCGGTGGGGAAAGCGGGTGTAGAAAGAGACAGACTCGTCAAAAGTGACATTACGCGAGTGAAAGAAGCGGTGAGACGGCGGGTGGTAAAAGTGTCGTTCAGACGCGTCAAGGGGGAAACCAAAGAAGACACAGGGGACGGTCCGGGCAGTGAGTTTGTTCGTGCCGGAGGCACAAGCCCGTGATGGGACATGCGACGCAGACGCAAGAGAGCAGGGTGACCTAGGCAGTGGTTCCACAACTGTGAAGGGTGGGTGAGTGACCGACACGAGCAGGCTGCAGCTATCTGAGAGGACGCGCCAAACTGGGGGGACGCTCCGACCGGGGGGGACGCAGTGTCCAGCGTGAACAGGCTAGACACGGAGTCCCGGGGGAATGTGGTAAGAGGGGCACCTGTGGCGGCCTCGGTATAGACGGCGAACCGCTTGTGTCCAGAGAACGTAGCGGTGACGCCGAGGTCCTGAAGACAGCCGACACCAGCTAGGATCCTGGAGAACGAGGGGATGTGCAAGCCTGTAAGAGAGCTCGAGGGAACCGCCGGACAGGGAAGAAGTGGAGCTACGTGCAACTACCGGACCTGAGGAGAGGTCAGCAAGAGCTACATTGGCAGGGGCAGCAAGCGGCGTGAGTGAAGTGTGGTCGAGGAAGAAGCAAGCAGACGCTCCAGAGTCGAGCATGAAAGAGAGCGAAGAAGTAGCGTCTGAAGTAGCGGCAGCTGGCCGGGGGGCTAGCGTAGAGCCTAAGCTAAACAAGGCAGGAGGTCCTACGCCTGACGCAACAGGGGAACCTGGATCCGGTCACACTAGGGTCATCAGCATACATGACATATATAGCCATCCTAATCCGATCCATGTCAAGCTCAAAGACAGGCACACGACGGTGGGCGAGGGCGTACCACTCAGGAGGATCCAAGGTGGGACCAAAGCGGAGACAGTAGAGGTCGTCGAGGCGGCGGTGTGACCTGGACGTCGTAGACGGTGCCACGGCATGGGCCGGTCTGAAATTGGTAGTGGCAGGTGGCCACACTGGAGCCACCACCAGGCACCGAGCTGTGCGGCGCACCACCACGACCACCACCACCAGCGCCACCAGGCAACCACGGTGGCGGGGGTCCCCACAGCAGCAGCTGCTACTGCTGCGTCTACTGCTGCTGAGGCTGCTGCTACTGCTGCTGCTCCCGGGCACCAGCCCCGGTCCCCTTGTCTGCACCACTGTCCCCGCCCCCACGTCCACCACCCCCACCACCCTTCCCTCTGCCACGTCCCCCCTTGGGGCGGCGGCCCCTGCCCTGACGATGCTGCGCTGAGGCCGCAACGGCAGTCTCAGCAGCAGGGGCTATCTCAGCAACAGCTGCAGAAACGTCAGCGGAAGTGCACTGGGAGGGAGCACAGCCCTGGAAGATAGGGACCGGCGCAGTACCGCTAGACTGAGCGATAGTGCGTTGGTGGGTCTCTATCACGGACAGGGTGGTGACAAAGCCAGTGAGGGTGAGGTCACCTGGGTGCTGACTAAGGAAATGGTCGTGGGCAGTAGCTAGGCGGTCAGGCAGGCGCGTGGCGATGAGGTAAAGGGTAGCACAGAGGGGCGGTGAGAAGGCAGTGAGCTGTGCCTCAGTGCTTGCGGCACGGTAGCTAGTCTTCACTGCACGGAGGTGAGTGGCAAGGTCAGCGATAGTGGGAAAGGACGCAAGGTCAGGGAACACCATGGGGTGGATCAAGCGGCCGGCAGAGGTTGAGGCAGGGGTGGAATAGCGCGCGATGACGGCATCTAAGTATTCATTGGCGTTCGCTGCAGCAGTAAAGCGGAGACACTTAGACAGGGGGAGGGCGTGACTAATGAGAAGCTGATCAACGGCGTTGCGTGAATCCCAGGCAGCGCAGGCAAGCTCAGCAGCGACAAAAGCCTCATGCTCAGCAGATGTGGGGGCGTCAGGGAGGGCAGCAGGCGGGGCGGGGCGAGGGAGCTCACCATCGACATGGACGGCCAGGGAGTGGCCGTCCTGGTGCTGCCTGGTCAGCTGGCGGTGGAGGTCGACGAGCCACGCCTCAAACTCAACGGCCCGACCCTCCACGTCCAGGCGGAGCAGAGAGTCCGCCATCACCACAGCTGCAGCAGCTGACTGTCGCTGACAAGGGGAGGAGGGAAAGCGGAGGAGGGCAGTGGAGAGCGGTGGAGTGCGGTGGAGGCTTCCAGCGGGAGCGCCGGCTGAGAGGGGGAGCCAAGGCCGGCAGGTCAACTCGACTCGGCGGTAGGAAGGGCCGGGGCGGGCTGGGACTGGCGGAGCTGCGGCTGGCGGAGCAGTGGCAGACGGTGCTGCCAGGCGGGCTGGGATCGGCGGGAGCGCAGGGCCGGGGCAACGGGGTTGGCGCGCGTGGGGCTGGCAAACGCGGGGCCGATGGGCACAGGGCTGGTGGGCGCGGGGCTGGTGAACGTGGGGCCAGCGGGCGCGGGGATGGCGACTGCTGAGTGTGAGGCTTTTGTCACTGCTGAGCTTGGCTGTGCTGTCTAGGATTCGCGCAACGCCGTTGCTAAGCTTGCCATCAGTCACGCCCCCCCCCCCCCTGTCTGAGCGTCCCCGCTTTACCGCTGTCTCAAACGCCAACAAATACTTAGATGTTGTCATCGCGCGCTATTCCACCCCCACCTCTGCCGGTCACCTGATCCTCCCCATGCTGTTACCTGATCTTGCATCCTTCCCCACTGTCGCTGACCTTGCCACTCACATCCGTGCACTGGAGACTAGGTACCACGCCGCTAGCACTGAGGCACAGTGCACTACCTTCCCGCCGCCGGTTTGCGCTACCCTGTACCTCATTGCCATGCGCCTCCCCGACCGCCTAGCCACAGCCCGCGGCCACTTCCTTAGTCAGCACCCAGGTGATCTCACCCTCACTGCCTTTGTCACCGCCCTGTGCGCGATAGAGACCCGCCAGCACACTATCGCTCAGTCTAGCGGTCCCTATCTTCCAGGGCTGCGCTCCCTCCCAGTGCACTTACTCTGACGTTTCTGCCACAGTCGCTGAGACAGCCCCTGCTGTTGAGACCGCCGCTGCGGCCTCAGCGCAGCAGCGTCTGGGTAAGGGCTGCCGCCCCAAGGGGGGGGGTGGCAGAGGGAAGAATGGTGGAGGTGGGGGCTGGTACGTTGGTGCAAACGAGGGGACCGAGGCTGGTGCTCCGGAGCAGCAATAGCAGTAGCAGCCTCGCAGAAGCAGAAGCAGCAGCCGCCTCAGTTACAGCCTCAGCAGTAGCAGTCGCAGCAGCAGCAGCAGCCGCCGTGGTGGCCTGGTGGCACTGGTGGTGCTGGTCGTGGTGGTGTGCCGCACAGCTCGGTGTCGGGTGGCAGCTCCAGTGTGGTCATCTGCTAGTACCAACTTCAGACCGGCCACCGTCGCGGCACCGTCTGCGATCATCCACGTCATACCGCCACCCGCTGCTACTGACGCCTCGACGACCTCTTCTGTCTCCGCTTTGATCCCACATC